CTCCCAACAATTCTTTCCCATTTAACTCATACACTGCATCATCCGCATCTCTGTAATCTTCGAATTCCTGAAAATTATAAAGAACTTAATACGTCGGCGCAATCAACAAAGTAAAGCATAATACATATACATATATCGTATACCGAAAGTAACCTAAAATCGATTTACTTAAAAATAATGCACACTTACCACGAAGCCATATCCATTTTTTAACAATATATCTCGCGTTCGTCCATAACCTTTAAAAAACCGCTCCAAATCTCTTTCACGAACTCCATACGGCAATCCACCGACGTAAACTCTTGAGCCGACCATAATTGCTTGGGTGTGTTTCGTAGTATTCTAAATATGAGAAAATAGTACTTCAAATTTTGATTTACATATATATAGAGGTGTTATAAAAAAAAAGTGCCTAGTAATAAATTGGCAATTAAAACGCAAATATGGATCCAACATGGACGCTCAATACAATATTTTAATGAATTAACAGTCCTTTTGACAACTTTTCCCAAGTTGGCTATTACAAATGGTGTGTACCTTTTCTTAGGCCTGTTAGATCAATCTACAAATTATTAACTTCACTTTAATAACGTTATCACTTTTTTCCAATTCTATTCCACACAAGAAAAATACAACCAAGCTCTTCGGCAATTAAAACGGAAATAGCCACTTTTCCACTGAACAATTTGCACTAGAGAAAAATGGCGGTTTTCGCTTGGGTTCAGAGCTGCCACTCTTACAAAAATAGAAGCTTGTTAAAGTGCCTACAGTCGGTACAAACAAAATATCCTTCAGTGCCACAAAATTGGATGTTCTTTAAAATTATATATACCAAATTAATTAAAAATAATAATGCATGTTTGTCTTACGTTCAATATTTATTGATATAATTGGAACATGATTCTTATTACAAATTAATGCATCGCAAGTTCATGCTACAAGCTCAATATTTATTGCGCTAATATTCATTGCTATAAAATATTGTTTTTTTTTTTGAAAGTACAATGTTAAAACAAGGTTTCGCCTTATTATTTATTAAATTTTGCGCACAAATTTACATACACAATGTGCTAAATGTTCAATATTGTTAGCGCAATTCATAATAAGCGATCCGGAATTCAAAATGTTTAAGTATTTTATGGCATAAATCGCGATTGATCAATATTGCAAACCAAAAGTTCAAAACAGTTCTTTTATCGCCGCCATTGGCAACCAATGCTTGGTAATGTTAATAATACTATGTTCGGACCGACAACGAAAACATGTTTTCGTGGCAAAAACTGGTTTTCGCACGAARACTTGTGTTTTCGTCCATGTAAAATCTGTCAAACGAAAACACAGTTTTCGCTGAAAACTAATTGAAAACTTACATTCCACTCATTATAATCGGTGCCTGCTCTAGTTTAATCGATGTTTTTGGAAGACATGTTTTGCCGGCCCTAAATTGTCACTTGATATTTGTTTACAATCCACATACAAATACAGCTGTCGCTTGATATTCTCATATAAGGGCGATTCTCTTGCTCTTGCAAAACCTTGCACCGCTCAGAAATTGCAGAATTTTCCCTTTGGTGCAACGGCATAACAACAAACACACGCAGAAAATTGATTGCAATGGCTGTAAAATATGTCAGACCAAAACCCATGTTTATTTTCCTGCCATCATATATCACTAGATTCTGCAATGGGTGCTCTCTTGGCTTTGCATATTTCGGTAAAGGATTTTTGCATTTTGTGTCATCGTGCAATCTTGCAAGAGTAAGAGAATACCGCTTTTAATAGTTGTCAGTGAAAACTCATCGAAAACACATATTGTCGGTCCGAACGACTTAGATTCCACAACATACAAATGTGTTTTCAAAAGGTTTCAATGTCGGTCCGAACATAGTATAATTGAAACTATTTAATTTTTTGTTGTTGTTTCAATAAGCTATAGCCTGCAAAATTAGTTGTAACAAGAAAAGTCTTAAGTATGTATCCGATGGTGGGCGCGAAATATGCTTTCGAAATGTTTCCAAAATTATCGATAAGTGATTAATTTACCGGCGTGTTTTTGCTTCCTTTTATCGTCGTTGAGTCGCCATTTTCGCAGGCAACGACAGCAGTATTGATTCAGTGCGCTTCGGTTTCGGTCAAAAATAATTTAATTATTATCCTTCGTGTGATAGAAATTGTCATTGGCCTTGCAATTGATATATAAAATATCATATTTAGTTCCACGGGTTTAAAATATATATCTTAAATAAAAATGGCGGATGTTGAGAATGGAAACTCGAATGGCAATTACAACGATGAGGTAAGTAAATATTTTTGATTAATTTTCCTTTACATATTAAAATGGTAAGGTATATACTAATGAAGTGGCGAATAAAATAATTATTACTGTTACTACCAACATTGGTTAGAATCGCGGCGTCATTCTTGAGCGTCATGTGTTTAAACAAAATGGCGGACTAATTTTTTTTATTGCTGTCTTTCATAGTGTTCGGTGTAATATTTTTATAGATATTGTAATAATGTTCTGTATTGTGGAAGAAATATATTAAAGTAACTACAAATGTTGACTATTTTATATTTACAGCCTATTACCGAGCCTGAGCAATTAAGAAAGCTTTTCATTGGTGGTTTAGATTACCGAACCACCGACGATGGCTTAAAAGCGCACTTTGAAAAATGGGGAAACATTGTTGACGTGGTTGTAATGAAAGACCCCAAAACAAAACGTTCCAGAGGTTTCGGTTTCATTACATATTCACAGTCATATATGATTGATAATGCTCAAAACGCTCGTCCTCATAAAATTGATGGACGTACCGTGGAACCTAAAAGGGCAGTACCGCGCCAAGACATTGACAGTCCAAATGCAGGTGCTACTGTTAAAAAATTGTTTGTAGGCGGTCTCCGTGATGACCATGACGAAGAGTGTTTACGAGAATACTTCAAGTCTTATGGTAATATTGTTGGAATCAATATTGTTGCGGATAAAGAAACCGGGAAAAAACGTGGGTTTGCCTTCATCGAATTCGACGACTACGATCCCGTCGATAAAATAATTCTACAAAAGAATCATACTATTAAAAATAAGGTTCTTGATGTAAAGAAGGCTATCGCTAAACAGGCAAGTAGTTTATATTTTTAAAGTAATGATAATTCCACTAAAATTCTGTTTTGGATATCTCCGTAAATATAGGATATGGAACGTCAAGGAGGAGGTGGTGGAGGTGGACGTGGACAAGGAGGAAGAGGTGGCGGTCGTGGTGGTGACCGCAACAATCAAGGATGGGGTGGTAATAATAGACAAAACGGAGGAAATTGGGGTGGCAATAATTTTGGTAACAATGGGAACTTTGGAGGCAGCCAAAGTGGTCCAAGCGGCCCAGGTAACTGGAATAACCAGCCAGCACCTTGGAATAACCAGTCTGGTAATGACGGTGGTTGGAATAATGGGGGCGGATTTGGTGGGGGTCCCGGAAATGGTGCCAGTAATGGCTGGAGTGGAAATAATGGGGGTGGCAATTTTGGTAGTGAATACCAACAAAGCTATGGTGGTGGTCCTCAAAGGGGAAACAACTTCGGAAATAATCGTTCCACACCTTATAATCAATACAACAAAGGTAATAATTTTAACAAAATGTAACATGCTTAAAAATAAAATCATTTTCATAAAGTAGGAAACGTGGGTGGACAAAGTGGTGGTTTTGGCGGTAATAATTATAACACCGGTGGAGGCCCAAGTGGTGGCAACATGGGTGGCGGTAACCGAAGATATTAAAGAATGAGGTAAGACTTTTTTTCGGTATACAAATATAATTTATTACGTAGTGGTTTTATTATTAGTTACACAATTTTTTTTTCCTACCATTAGCCAATTTCGTTAATATGTATTATAATTTTTTTTTTTAAGAAAAATAGCTGCAAAATATTGTTACTCATATAGTAATAAGTGTATGGAAATTTATTTGTTTATAACAATTTTTCTTTTTTTGTAAATAGGTAAAGTACATAGTACAATTTCAAACAGAGAGACAGGCAGTCTAGGCACAGGCAGGCAGGCAGGAAGAGAAATGAAATAAGATGAATAACAGATAATGCAGACAACTGCAGTCCAAACGCAAATCTACATTTGTATAGGCAAATAAGGAAATTTATACAGAAAAACTAAATATTTTATTTGACATTCACACAAGTACAAAGGAAACAAAACCCGAATATTTGTAGTGAACAAAATTATTTAAATGTAATCCACTACATATGAAGCACATAATACCCCATAAATGGAAAAGTACAATTTATACGTACTTTGATCGCTTTTTCATATTCTGTGTATTAAAAACACCTGTCTTAACATCTTTCAATTTTTACTATAATTTTACTTGTAAGACATTTATAAGTTCTCATAAAACGCATTTAATAATTAAAAGTATTAAATATGATGATACAGCAAAATTTTGAGAAAATTAGACGAAAATAAACATCATGAAGAAACAGAATCTGCTTAACACCACCATTTGAGTTACCCTTATAATTCTAGTTATAGTTTTTAAATTATAAACAAAACTTGTTAAAACAGTATAATAAATTGACGTAAGCGTGAAATCGATAAGGAGTTCTTCAAAAGTTTAACCACGTTACAGGTTATATGTACAAAGTTTTTTTTTGGATGTACTCTTGATTGGTAAAATATTTGTAAGAACATATGGGTACATCTTTTTCTGCGATTCAACATCAGGACAACAAAAAAAAAAAAACCAACTAATATGTATATGAGGTAGTGCAAGCCATACACTCTACTCTTAGTTTGAGTTATAGCACAACATTCGCAACAAGTAGCCTTAAATGTTACTAATTATTATATACGTATTTTTTACAAGACTTGGTGTACAGAATGCATATTTTACTATAATCGCACTAAGTACGACGAAGGATGCCGAGATCCGGATTTATCATTCTACGCTCCGAATACTAAGAGGGTTTCAATAATACCAAAGGTAGGTAGTAAATTAAAGTATTTTAATAATTTTATTTTACAAATAAAGTATCATTTAAAAAAGAATACAACTTGTGTTTTGTCAATAACGGCTTTTGTGGTGAGTTTCAATTTACCTTTGGATTGTGAGTGCTTAGTTTTTTTTATTAAGCAGACAAACTTGGACGCAAAAAGCAGGATATTCATAGTATAGAAATGTTTGTATGATATACCAAGCAAAGGTAGAGAAAAAGAATGCGGTTGCCACCGTGCTATGATGCGTTGTAAACCCATCATCTAACACCACCAGCCTTATTGTCCACCCCATCGAAACAGCATGTTTTCTGTGCCTATTGTTAGATGACTTATGCTAATTTTATAAAGAATAAACCAACAAATATTTTCTATTAAGTAATTTATCAGTAATAACATGTGATTGTAAACAAATAGTGGAAAGTTAATTTAACGGTGTACTCCAAACTTGGTTACAGGATGGACAATTCGATTTTCGTTTTAAAAATGTTCGTATGCATTCCTTATGAAATTTAATTTCACATCGATCACATTTTGTGTCCTAATAATATCAAAATTATATAATTTGTCTAATATAGCTATTATTTTTTAATCTTACCCACAAAACTACATTTTTACAAAGCGGACAATCTTTGATGTAATCAGAAAAATGGGTTTTCAAATGGCTCGCATATTCAACTAACATCCGGGGCCCGAAAAATATTTTGTCGTATTTTTCCAGAAAATAACCTTGTTGCGTCCACTTTGTTATCAAATCTTGAACGCGCGTTTTTGTTAAGTCCTTTTTGACAGTTTGAGGAAGGTTCGGCAGATTATACATATCAACCCACGAAATACCGTAGTCTTCATGAACAGCCATTGTTTCTACCAGCTTTGCGAAATATAACTGATCTGCTTCACGATAATGGTGCTGAAGTTTACTCGCGGGTGTTTCGAACGTTAGGCCAAATACCAAATATTCCTTTCCAAGCAGTGGATGTGTTACGAATTTTAATTCTTGATTACATTCTTTTAAATCGCTGTTTATTTCCCTTACCAAGTTTTTCACATCGCCCAATGTAGCAGTATCATCATCTGAAAAATCTAGCTTTAGTAATTTAGCAATTGCACATACAAATATACAAACATGATTGAGAAATTGGCTCAAGTATTTCACTAACTTGTTCCACGCTTAAGCTGCCGTGGTTCATACAAGCTTGCAAAAAGAGTTTTTTTACTTCACATCGCATTTCAAATTTATAAATATACGCGGCTGTTTAAATAGGTATGTGCAAATAAAGGTAAACAATGTTTATATGATGAATCATCGTGTATAATATCGTATATAGTATGTCGATTTACATTATCGGCAATTGTATTATCTCGAAAATCTTATTTGCTGTCTCTAATTTTGTCCGGTGCCATATTTTCAATGAGCACGTATATGTCATAGTAGTTATCAGAATAGTTAGCCTGAAAGTTTATCTTGTTACTTTAACAGTACTACTTGTAAGATAATATGTACTTCTATACAAAAACATAGGACATATGTATATATATTTAAAATTTCAATGTCATTTAGCATTTAATTTATCGAGATAACGAATGCCCACACAAAAATATTGCCAACGACATTGGTAATATTTCCGCCGTTGAACGGCAATAATAATTGACCTTGGAAATGCGGCGTAATAATATGCATGCATTGAAAAGTTTAGGATTTTTAATAATAATAATTATGTTAGAATAAATTCTTACATACATATACGATCCTATGCTCATATATACATGTGATTTTATTTTAATTAATGCCTAGGTATACAAGGTGCGTTCCAAAGTATGCAGGACTTTTATAAATCAAGCGCCCCTGTTGGAGCCATCTATATGTCGACTTTTGCGTTAGAATCTGCTATCTTTATCGATTTTTCAGTGAAAATTTCGGTTTTTACCCAAGGCATACAGAGTAAAACATATTTAAATGCGAATATAATAATTTTCGATATGTTGGCTTACCGAAATTTATCGTAATCAGGTAATAAATTAATATCTGGCCACGCATTGACCCAGTGTTCTTATTACGAGTGCCAGTTGCTCGATATCAGTTGCGCCCTAATAAGAAAAATTATAAATCAAATAAGCGTTAAATATTCCTTTTCGGAAAAATACATTTGCCCATGAAAGGAAAGTGTTATGCAGACGTAGAGGCCATTCAAAAAGCTTACACCGTCATAATGGCGGCCATACCGGCCAACAAGCTAAAACACTCGTTCGACACGCTTTTGAATCGTTCAAAAAGCTGTATTGAATCAGAAGTAGACTATTTTGAATAAAATAAATAGATTTTGCCGAAAAAACTATTTGTTCTGTTTTTTTAAGCCTGTTTACTTTGGAATGCTCCTTGTACTAATAGTAAATTTTTCTAAGGACTTTGCGTTTTCATTGTTTCCGATAATAATAATAATAAGAATTAATTTTTTATAAAATCTATACATAAAAAATGTAAATTTAAGAAAACCGTTTTATGAGTACATACATATATACTCGGGAAAGAATTAAATATTATATTTCCGGGAATATAATTAAATAGTGATATTTACAAAATTATATATAAATTTAAGCATTTAAAATATATTTTGAAAATAGATTTATTTTTAAAATTTTTTGGCAAAACTTTTCATATTTTTATGTTTGGTTTATTTACATACATAAATGATTCTTATAGTTGCGCTATTCACAAACTAAAAATCCTCTGAGCTCATTGGAAGTAATCATGACTTAATGCCTGTAAAACGGAATGGGAAATTTTATAAATTGAAAAATAATAATATTAAAGTTGTAGTATATTAAAAATGATTAAAAAATGTGAAAATGCGTTTTGTACAAAAAGAAAATTAAATGTATAAATATATTAAATACAAAATACCCGTGTACAGATCATTAACAAGTTAATAAATGAGATTTGTATTGCTTACTTCAGCTGCTGTTAGGCGGTTCTTTGGATTATACACTACTAAGTTCGATACCAAATTAATTTCAACAGCGTGTGTGCAACTAGGGAAAAGGTTATCCCAGTGAATTCCAACTGCCTTTGGAAATCTTTAAGTAAAAAACAAATATACACAGAAATAACAGCTTTTGTTCCACAAGGAAAAACCGCTAAACTATTTTTGGAGAAATTTTGGGTTGTTAGAAAGTATTTCTCAAATATCCTAAATCGACTTTAGCGGTTTTTACTCAAGGCACACAGAGTAAAACATATTTAAATGCTAGTATAATAATTTTCGATATGTTGGCTTACCGAAWTTTATCGTAATCAGGTAATAAATTAATATCTGGCCACGCATTGNNNNAGTGTTCTTATTACGAGTGCCAGTTGCTCGATATCAGTTGCGCCCTAATAAGAAAAAGTATAAATCAAATAAGCGTTCAATATTGTCAACAATGTTGTTTACGCACAGAAAATAGTGGCACTCCTCTCAGCATTTCCGCAAACACACAGCCTGATGCCCACATGTCCACAGCTGGACCATACTTTTGACTCCCCCATAATATCTCCGGAGCTCTATACCAGCGCGTAGAAACTTGTGGTGAATATAGTTTACTTTCATCTTTTGGAAAATGTAAACGAGCTAAACCAAAATCAGCAATTTTAAGCTTTTCATCTTCGCTTAGAAGCAGATTCGCTGGTTTTATATCCTGCAAATTAGAATGGCTTTAAATACGAAATTTGTTTTAAACACGGAATTCACATACACAATACACAGAACTGACCAATACACAAATAAATTTCGTCTCTAATCCCTGACTTGAGTCAGATAACAATTTAAGTATTTGCTTTGTGATACTTACTCTATGCATGATACCCATATTGTGCAGATATTCGATTCCTTTAAGCATCATTAATGTAAATTTACGAATTTGCTGCCTACTTAGTGGTTCGACCTCGTTTCTCAGTTTTCCATATAAAGTTTCTGGCATATATTCCAATACCAACGACAGTCCGGTTAAGTCTGGATATATGTCAATAATTGATACTATCTACAGTTGACAAACATGTACAAATGTGATATTAAGTAATCTTTTGTATTTAAAAATCTTTAATCTTACATATTCCGATTGGCATAGTTGCAATGTTTTTATTTCGCGCAAAGTATTTAGTGAAATATTTCCAAATTTATTTTTTAATGCAACCTTTTTAATAGCTACGGACTTTTGTCGTTGCAGATCGATTGCTTTAAAAACGTAGCCATGCACTCCTTCACCAATCTTCTCCAACATTTTGAAACGACTTGGTGCATAATCCTCCATTCTTAACAAATATACACATTTCACTATGGAAAGCCAAATAAATACAAATTGTGAAATTGTTCCAATCGCATTAAGACAATGTTGATTGACTTTATGTTATTGCATTTGTACTGCAATGTTACCAAGGCAATTCATTAACAGTTAAAAATGTGCTCCTCGTTCAACCCTTAAACCTTTTCTGTGCACAAAGTGAAAAAACCACCAAAATTCGGCTTCAGACACGGCAGAGCTGAGATTACACCTTAGCCATTTAAGATATCAAAATATTGTCGTTAAAAAGCAAAACAAGAAAAATCGTTAACTTCGGCTATACCGAAGCTATAATACCCTGTTGCATTTTTTATAGCATAGAGGGGTTTACAGAGGTCTTTATCTTGATATTGATCAGGCTTTTTGTCTTGAAGCTATATGCTATAGTGTTCCGATCTAAAAAATTTGATCGCAGATTTTACTGTTGCCTTGGACATTATGGTATTTGGTGCCAAATTTCGTGAAGATATCTTGTCAAAAAAAAAAAAAAAAAGTTTCCCACTCAAGAACTTTATTTTGATCGATCAGATTGTAGGGCAGCTATGTGCTATAGTAATGCGATTTCGGCGACTCTCACAAATGTGCAAAGAAAAAAGCTGAGGGACTAGTAGGCGTGTATACAGTCAGAAAGATGGACTGGCTAAATCGACACAACTTGTCACTTTTACAAAATTGTACATTCTTTGTAAGGTCTCGGACGTTTCTTCTAGGCATTACAAACTTCTTGATACACTCAGCAAACACCGTTCAGAGTATAAATATGTGTTGGGGCTTTAAATGCTAAATTTTAAGTGTTTAAGTATTTCTAAACCAGTTAATAGTAGTCATGACATTACCTCGATTAAATAACAACAAATTTAAGGTGTTTTTTCTTTTTTACATAATTTTGTATAATTAATACTATATGACGACGTTTGCCTTAACATTCAAATTTAAAATATTAATTTTATTTTAGAAGCGCCAACGAGTAGTCTAACAATTTCACAACCGAAAAATAATGACATCCTGATATATCATAATGTAATTAATAACTGTTTAGCACAAGTATGTAAATAAATAAACAAATGTTATTTATTATATTATGTTATTACTTTATTTTTGGATAAAGAGCTCGTGGCGATGTCAAAATCAAGCGCATGCTCTTTATGGATCAACATATCCTTGTCAGTACTTGTCATGCATAAAGGATACATAATTTTCACTTGTCCATAATATAAGTACGTTATACAAAGTGTAGAATATTTTATAAAATTTTATTTTTAGTAACATATTACAATGTGAGTGTATTATGCGAAAGTAAAAATGCAGTTTTAAGTGTTTGCGAAAATCTACGAAGGATTTAAAAGGTAAATTTACTATTAGGTAATAGGTCCACATGTTGGACTGTATAAAGTTGTCAGAGAATTTACAAATTGTTTAAATTTATTGAGAAAGGCATTAAAAGCCTACAAGAAAGGTGAGTCACTCTATAATAAATAAAACTAAAAAAATAAATAGTAAGGATAAATAAAAAATATAATATATACATACATATGTATATGGAATTTATAAAATAAAATAAATAAATAAATGATATTTAATTGAGAAAGTTACTTGTAATGTATGTAATAAATAATTTAATTAATTTCTATGTATAATTTGTGCTTTTTATTTGAAGGCTTTTGAAAATGGCATTGAAAACCCGAGCACTGTTTGCTTGTGTATGTGTCCTGGGATTAATATATTGCAGTAAAGGCCGAACTGCGAAACGTTCGGATGTTTACATTGCCGGTTTCTTCCCATACGGTGATGGAGTGGAGAATTCCGATACAGGTGAGGGAAATTCTAAAGATTTCCGTAATTATTAGCCTCGAGAAATCAAAAATCACATTCCATAATTGGAGAAATTAAAAAAATGTACGCTTTTTGTATAATTATACCTCTCACTTTTCGCTTTGCATACTCATGATTTTTTTTTTTTTTTTTGCATAGGCCGCGGGGTTATGCCCAGCGTTAAAT